AAATTGCAGCAGGCAGTGGCTGTGTGAGCACAACTGGAAAACAGCTGGAAAAACGCTACACCCGTGCTTGGGCCGGGCTTTGGTGAGGCTCGTGTTCAGAATTGGGCTCGGTGGTGCCCTGGGGCCGTGCTGCTGCTTTTCCTGGGCTGCCCCGGAGCCCTCCGGGGGTTCCCTTGTGCTCCTGGCACCGCTCCCTCCGGAGGGGCTCCGCTGCCGGGGGAGCTCCCGGGGCCGATCCCCGCGGAAACCTCCCCCGGTGTGGGCGGCAGATCGCTCTCCGGGACACGGACGGAATTGTAATGCCTGGTTACAAATTACTAATGTATTTTGCTGCGGGACACTAATAAAGTTGCTTTTCCCAGCTGGTGCATTGTGGTACTGTGAATGGAGCGGGCCCAGCCCGCCCATCGCCCCCCCTCGCCATTCAGATGCAAATCAGCTTTGTGCTCATTCCTCATAATTGCTCTGCATCCCGCCTTGGGCTTCCAGAGGCACCCAGGAAATCGTGTTTGCTCAGGCTGCAATTTAGACTGTACATTATTTGTGATAACTATAGCTACAAGGTATAATTTCGCTGTCTTATTTAAATTTTATGAATTTCACTGTGTTTCACATGTCCCAGTCGAATCGAGTGCAGGGAAGCGGTGCCGGCACGGGGCAGCACCGCGGTGCCTCTTCCTGTGGAGCTGGAAAAGCCTGGGCTGGAGTCTGTGTCTAAAATGCAGCTCCATTTTAGAGCTGAACCTTGGCACTGAAACGTTATAATTTTATTTATCTCAATCAGCTCATGATTTACTGTATTAAGGTTATTGCTGTCATGTTACTGTAATGCTGATCATAATTAAGCTAAATAGTTTTTGAGATATTTTTGCCAAATGTATTATGTTTTCAAGCATTTTAGCCTCTTGAGTACAGCTATTAAACAGTGGAATGATAGGCTATTTTCATACACCCTTAACATGTAAACAGGCTTGGAGGGAGAGCTGTGCTCCACTGCCATTTGGGGGTTAACAGGCTGTAGGTCTTCTTTTAGAGATAATTATTAACTGAATTTATACAATATGGGGTTTTTTTTCTTCTGCTATTGTCTTAAAGGTGACATTCCCTGGGCTGTTTAGGGACTACATCCAGTGCCTCCCCCAATACAATCTATTAATGAGCTTTTAAAAATAACCTTTATTAAGATGTGCAGACAAATTTACACTTATTTATCTTTTAAATACATGTTAGTTTAATTTATGCTACAACCATTGAGCATCAAGAAATTAAAAGTGGTTCCCCTGGTGAGAGCTACAGCCCCAGGAGGTGCAGGAGCAGCAGGAACGCGATAGGGACAGGAGGCCAAAAAACCTCAACTCATTTTTGTACCCAAGAATTGCTCCTCTGGGAATTGCGTTTGGGTTTGGAGCAGAGAAGGGCATCGAGGTGAATCATTATTGGTGTAGCACTTAATTGCTGCGTTCAGAAGTGCAGCAGCAGCGACTGGAGGGGAGAAAACGCCTCACCCCGTAGAAGAGGGGGGATTTTGCGTCACGAAATCCCAATTTCAGTAGCTGGGATGTGGTGGTGACACCGCGGCTGGGGAGCGGCGGATCCGGGGCCAGAGCGGGGCAGGGCAGGGCAGTTCCTCATCCCGGAGCGACCCCGGGCCCGGGCCCGGTGCCTCCGGCCCCTCCGGGCTGCTCAGCACCAGCCCAAGGCCCAGGCGGCTCAGGAGTTCGAAACCCAGACGCGCCGATCCCGTGTCAGGGGATTCCAGCCCTGCGCGCGAAAGAGGCGCTGGAGCAGCGCTCGGCGAGGGGGTCCGGCCGCCAGCGAAGCTGTGACTTTATTAGGGAGCCAATTGGAGGGAATTACAGTAATTACTGCTCCGGGTAATTAAGCGCCGGGAAGGGCTCGTGCCGTCGCTCTCGCTGCCGGAGCACGATGCTCGGCTCGGGAGGGAGCGGGCGGGCGGGGAGAGCTCCGGGGCCGCTTCAGCCGCTTCCCCGGCGGGGAGCGAGGAGCAAACCCCACCTTCCCAATTCCCTGCCCTCCGTGGAGATGGGGGGACGCGCCGTGGCTTTGGGCAGGGAAGGGCTGTGCGAGTTTCCTGCCCGCCAGCTCCCCACGGCTGCTCCCCTCGGAGCATACGCCGGAGTACTTGCTGGAGTGGTTTTGGGGTTTTGTTTTTGATTTTTGGGGGTTTTTTTTGTTGTTTTGGTTTGTTTTGGGGGGGATTTTTGTTTGGTTTGTTTTGGGTTTAGTTTTTTTGTTGTTGTTTTGGTTTGATTCTGGGGTTTTTTTCGTGATTTGAAGATACTTGGGGGGTTTTTTTGGAGGTTTTCTTTTTGCAGTGTAGTGGGACAGCAGCTTTGCTGGGTCTGTGCCAGAACTCGGCAGACCTGGCAGTGCAGGGATCTCAGAAGATGAACCCACATTATCTTCTAAAGTGTATTAGTGAAACCACATTAAATCCTCAGGAGATAAGTCTTATTCCAGATTTCAAGTGCTCTTAATTCAATTCCGCGGTGAATGGAGCCACGTTGAATTTATGCCGCTTTAATTGTGTGTGAAGTTTCCGTGCCACGATTTAATGGCCGTTAATGAGCGCCTTTCCCACTCCGAGCTCTGAGCTCTCCCTGCTCCCAGCGCCTTTGGGGATGTGTCGGGAGCGGGACAGAAGAGGGGAGAGGGGCACCCCGAGCTGTGTTTGCTTGCAAGGCTGCTGGGTCCAAACCAGGTCACGGCAGCCAAACCTCAAACACAAAACTGAGGAGAGAGCAGAGAGTGGGGAGGCGCGAGTGCGTTCAAACCCCCAACAAATGGGTGAGAAAAGGAAAAATCCATTAAGGCACATCAGCTGCTCCAGTGGGCTCAGGCCAGCCTGTGCTGCGGATGGTGGGGGCTGGGGAGTGTCCCAGGGAGACACAGCCCGTGGGCTCTGCTCTGAGCCGCTCCTTCCTAAAGGCCGCCAGGATTTGGGGAGCTCAGGCTGGGCCAGCGCGTCCCTCCTGATGCTCTTGTGGGTGCAAGGAGGAGGAGCGGGAGCTGGTCCTGGCCTTGGCTCCTGTGAGTGCAGCGCTTAATGCTTGAGCCCCTCCTGAAGCTGGAGGAATGGGGGGACCCTGTTAGCTCCAAAATTCAGGATGGAAATGCCCATCCCACCTCCCAGACCTGCACTGGGAGGGGTCCGATCAGCCCTACCCAAGGTTTCCATTGCTCCAGGACCTCCCAGCCCTGGGGCCCCTCCAGCCCTGCCTTGCTCGGTGCCTGCAGGAATTTGGGGGATTCCCAGCACAGCGGGGCTGCCTCTGCACAGGGGCTGGACTGGCTCAGCCCTGGCCCTCACCTTGTCCCTGCCGGAGCAGGGCCAGGCAGCTGCAGCAGCCTTGTCATTACCCCAGGCTGCGGACCAGCAGCGCCGTTTGGGACACAGAGCTGTCATTAGTGGGGACACCAGCCTGGGCTGCCATCTGTGGCAGGGAAAGCAGCCCAGGGCTTGCCTGCACTTCCCTGTCACCCTCTGGGGACACATGGCCATGCACATGGAGGAAGAATGCCCCACTTTGGCTGCAGCCCCCAAGGCTGAGCCTTGGCCACGGCTGCCCATGGTGCAGCTCTTGGTGCCCTCTGAGGTTCCATTGCTGTCACCACCTCCATGTGCCACTGCCCAGCTGCACTGCCAGTGTTTGGACATGACCCCTGAGACCTGCAGGAGCTGCAGAGAGGAGGTGGCCACAGTCCAGGGGTTCCCTCTGGCCACCCTTCCTTGGGCTCCTGCAGACCGACCCTCCTGCAGAGCCTGGAGCCCTTTGGGCAGGGGGACACAGGGTGTGGGTGTGGGGTCCCTGACACCAGCACTGCCCAGGACCTCACACAGCCTCTGCCCCAGGAGTGCCCTGCCAGGGCCCAGTGCCTCAGGAGCAGCACTGCCAGGAAAATATTTGTTACCATTTTTTGGCCTCCTTTGAGTGCTGCTCATCCTTGGCTGTGTCACTCTGCCCGTGTGCGGGAAACAGCCCGGGGGGGGTCACCGGACCAGCACTTCCTGATGCCATCCCAGGCCACAGGGGCCATCCCAGGGCTGGCACTGAGTGGCACTGACCAAGAGGCACCACTTGCTCCCTCCTGAGCTGCCCTGGAAGCCCATAGGCCCCTTTCCATCCCCGGGGCCAGCACAGGCATCCCCAGTGAGCCCCTGTTCAAAAACTTGCCAGGTTTAAGACTTTTAGGAAGAGTGAGTGAAGTTTTGGCTTTGGGGTTGGACAGGGAGGGCTGCTAGTGGTTTTCTCCTTGGCTGATTCCCTAAGGAGGTGTTACACAATCCCCACCTTAAATCCAGCTCTGACACAGTGACAAAGCTAGGCAGGGCCTGAGAAATCCCTGTGCTGATCCCCTCCAGTTCTGCTGGATCCCTGATTGGCCTGGCATCACTCGAGGCTCAGGTTTCCAGCAGAAAAGCCCCTTCCCATCCTTGTCCTGACTGTTACTATCAAGATATATATATATTTTTTTTAAACCTACAAAGTAAAGCCTTGGCAAGGCTGGCTAAGAAATGCATTTCAGATAAAAATAGGGAAAAAAAACTAATGCCAGCAAAACAGCCTGAAACCCCAAAAAGAGAAAGATCAAAAAAAGAATAAATTGTTATAATCAGCCCTGCTACTTAACAGTGACAAATGATACACTACAAGGGAGCCACAAATACTTGAGCACTAAGCCCAGCGTTTGCAGGGTCACAGAGGGGTATGGATCTGTTGGCATTTGTGCCCATCCCTGGTGGTGGCAGAGCCCTGCAAGGGCTGGGGGATGGAAGGGACCAGCTGGGCCCTGCAGGCCTGGAGGAAGTGCAGGGATTCAAACATCCCCTCCTGGGAGTAACACAAGCACAGCCTCCACAGGAACACCGCTTGTTCCCTTTCTGCAACTCCCAAATTCCCCAGCTGAGCCCCCAGCTTGTTCCCTCCACTGTGCTCCTCCATTCTTCCAGCAGTATGCCATAAAAACAAGACACTCCCCACAGCCCAATATATTTTAATAACGACATTGGCACACAGTGCTGGGATCTCGCTTAGTCCAGCATTTTATTCCAAAGTGTGCCTGCACCAGTGCCATCCAAACTTGCTGTCATCCTGAATTCCCCGGAATTGGACAGAACCCCCAGTTTCACCTCAGTTCCTGGATGATGGTGTTTACAGAGCCCAGGAGCTCCCTGAAGTAGCCGTCCTTGTCCCCTTCCCTCTGCTCCTCGGCCGCCAGCTCCTCGTACTCGCTGCGCAGGAGCCTGAGGGTGGTGCCCAGGGCGGGATCCCCCCGGTAGTGCTCCCTGCAGAAGGCCACCAGGACCCCCACCAGCTTGAGGACCTTCTCGCGGGTGTCGTGCTCGGGCATGGCCAGCAGATTGGGCACCAGGGCACACCAGCCCTGCTCCACCACCGCCGGCACCAGCCTGACCTGCTGGTACTGCTGGATTTTCTCCTCCATCTGCTCTCCGTGCTGGGAGTCCTCAAGCAGCATCTGTGGGAAGTGGTGGAACACAGATTAATGTCCCTGTCAGAGAGGAAGTGCTCCCAGGAGGCGACACAGTAGAGGAGGATGCGTGTCCTGTACCACCTGCCGTGGATGGGGACTTGCCACAGCAGACCAGACCGAGGTTGTGTTCAGGCTCCCTGGCCACAGGGGCTGTTTGTCCACCCTGGAAAATTCCCAGGGACTGGAGGTTTCTGTGTCACACAGCATGAGAGGGGACTCAGGGGCAGGAAGCTCAGCAGGACTTGTAAAGTCTTTGGTCTGAAGCCTTTTCCTGCTGACAGGTGCCTGCAGCACCTAATGAACATCATCACTTGGCTCCGTGCTGCTCCTCCCAGATATGGGGATCTCAGTCTCCTCCAGCCACAGCCAGACCTTCCCCTCCCAGCCTGGTCCAGAAAACCCCAGTACTGAAATTCTGCAGAGGGCTGGATCCCTTACAGCGAGAGAGACCAGCCAGAGGGGCATGGGGGCCAGGGGGAGGAAGGGAAACTCCCCCACATCATCCTGTGAGCCCTTTGGGGCTCAGGTGGCAGAGAGGCTGTTGATAGCATGAAATTTACAGGCAGGGACGAGGAAGGACAATACCAGGGAGACCTCCCCGCTCCTGGTCCTCTTGAGAGCTGCCTGCTGAAGTGCAGGCAGGATTTGGGGTGAAAAGGAAGGAATGTGGCAGGAGGAGCTGTTCAGAGCACCAGTGACTTGCTCAGTTTTGCACTGAGAGCTGCCAGGGTGCTTTATGATTCCAAACCAATCCGTCTGACAGTCACCCAGCCCATCCCAAACCTGCCACCTCAGCTCAGAGCAGCCCCTCAGCACCCAGGGTACAGCATTCCCAATCCAAAGAACAGCTAAAAATTGTTGTTTTAACAGAAACCCAAGAATCTGCCAGGCTGTGCCTGCCCCAGACCCAGGGAGGTAAGAACAGATGGGGCTGCTGGAGAGGAGAGCTGGGAAATGGGCAGCAGGATCAAATGAGAATAGTTTGAGTCAAAATGCCCTTGTCTGCTCTTTTCCCATGGAGCTGACAGGATCATGTTAGAGGTAGCACCTGATAAGATTTCAGACCTGCTAAAATAATTTGCACCTTTACAAAGTGTCCTGGAAAATAACTGATTTAACAGAGAGGTGCTGCTCTGCCGTGCCTGCAACCCAGGTATTAGAGCAGCCATAATCCGCAGGGCAAATTGGCCATAAACTGAGCCAGAGTGGATTTAATTCCCATTCTCTGGAGTCAGGGAAACGCACAGACTGAACAACAAGCCATGGCACGGAAAGACAGGCTTTAAACTGACACTTAGAGCAGTAATCCAGGGTATTTGAAAATAAAACATGGAACGTGGCAGGCTGGGCTCCAGCAAGGGATGTGCAGCAGGCAAAGGGCTCTCTGGCAGGCAGAGACACAGCAGAGCTGGCTTGTCCCTTGGCCTTGGCTGGACACCACAGCCCAAGGCCAGCATTCCCTACTTATGTCTTCACTGTCCTGCTGTTTAAACATCCTTGGGAGGAAATGGTGGCAGTGACTTGAAGGCAAACAAAGGTTTCAGCTCCTCTGGGTTCCCCCATGCACTCATGTGGTGTTGGCCAAGGGGCTGAAGGGGACTCATCCCCACTGATGCTGGGCTGGCTTCTCCTCATCCTCATCCTGTGAGTCTGTTGAGGCCTGGCTGAGTTTGGGGGTGAAGGTGAGGAGTGCTCTCACCTTCTCCATGATGAGGTCGTAGAGCAGTGTCACCACACGAACATGGAGGGGCTCCATCCCCTTCTGCCGGAAGAGGCTCCTGAGCACCTGGAGGCCACCCAGCTTGAGGAACTGCTGCTGGGCATAGGGGAAGTGCCTCAGCATGGAGGACAAAGCGAAGAGAGCCTGGTGGAGAGAGAGAGGGCAATCAGCATGTGGCCATGGCCTCCCCATGTGGCACAGCCCCTCTTGATGGCACCCCATGGGGACATTCATGCTCCAGCACACCTGTGCAGAGCTCCATGGAAAATGCATCCCAGCCTCTCCTTGCTGAGGGACATCTCCAGCAGTCCTGTGTGCAATCCCAATCCTCCCCAGCACCAAATCTTGGGTACTTCCATCCAAACTGCAGTCCGGGCTGTCACTGAGGGGCCTGTGGCCAGCCCTGACAGACCCAACCCATCACTCCTCCCTGCTCCCCCCCACAAGGCACAGAGCCCGGCCATGGGATGGAGTGAGGAGTGCCCAGCGCCACTGGCAGAGCCTGATTCCTACGAGGTGATTTGGATGAGGGGTGATGTCCCCACACACCCACAGCGCGAGGACGAGGCCATGATGTCCCCCAGCCCGGCCCAGGCCCTGTCAGGTGCAGCCCCGCGCACAGCCAGAGCCGGG